GGCCTGTGGCCCTAAAGTGCACTTGTCTGCACCCTAGCCTGGGCGGGGGGGATAATGAGCCGATAGATTGAGCCGGTGCCGGAGCCCGGCACTGAGCGCCGAGGTGCCTCTGCCCGCCGCACCATCGGGCCCCCTCACATACACACACATACACACACACGTTGCTGAGGCCTCCCTGAGCAGCAGTAGCAGCCTGTCGCTGGGTTAATGGGGGTGAGGGTCCTTTGCACAGGACACTTTTCAGAACAAATTAGAGGAAGGATCTGTATCCGTCCTCTTCAGCCCTCCCTTTCCAGTATCGCCCCTTGTCTCCCCTCCATGCCCTGTGCATGGGAAGCCCAGAGAGGAGATTTGAGCGTGGTAGTGTGGAGCAGAAAAGCACCACGACAGCGAGAAAGGAAGGTGCAGGCGGGGGACAAGGTCCAAGATCCTAGAGTAATGAGGATTGACACTGGGACAAGGGTGAGGCACAGCCTCCCTGAGTGCTGTTGACAGGTGACGGCAGGCTAGGGAGAGGCGAGGCAGAGTGAGAGGAGCTGGAGCAAGGAGAGGAAAAGCGAGGTCAGGACTAACAGCTTCTCTTATTCAAGGAGGAAAAAGGTGGGAGACCGCACAGCCATCCGATGCCCCCCTAAACCCTCCTGCAAGGTGAAGGAGGAGGCAGGATCAAAGGAGCAAGACAACAAAGCATCACCCGCCAGCCTCCAGCCAGCTCCCTGCTGACAGGCTGCAGATTGATCGACACTGCAAGGAGAGTGCGGAGGAGTGAAAGGAAGAGGAAAGTTAGCCGAGCCTAGCATGAACTGATGTGAACCACTACTGTCTCCGTCAATGCCTTGACTAGTCCTTTCTTAACAGGGGGCTCTGTGACTTCACCCAGGGTTAGAGTAGTATAAATGAGCAAACCTAAGTCGGCACAACTCAACTTGGGGGGAAATTAAGATGCTGGAGGGCCCTTTGAAGATAATTAAAGAGCACAGAGCGGCAGCCTCCAGAGAGGGACTGCAGACATGTTCAATACCGAGACTAATGGAGCTAATTTCCAGTACATTATTCATGTAAAACACAGGCCCTGACTTAGCTATGTTTTTTCTATGTCTCTTCTATCTGTCATCTCAAGTCAAACTGCACACACACACACAGATTAATCACATTTACTTGCTATTTCAGCCTGATTAACCTTGCCCCAGTTCTGTATGGGTTAAACCTCCAATGTAAACAAATTGAGTCCGCACAAAAAAAAAAAATCTCCTTAAAATAGCCAGGTGGCCAAGACCTGCTCCCTCTTGGCTTCCCAGAGTGCATTTCAAAGGCATTACCTCAAGCGTAGTGAAAAGGCATTATGACCTTAAACAGTGTCACCACTCGTAACCAATCACATCTCAGTGCAGACCATTAGCCCCTCCCTCAAGCACACTAACTTGTCCTTTAACATTAATGAGTAGACAAAAAAGAAAAAACAACACATGAAAGCTGTACAGTTGGGAGCTTAGGGCCAATTAAACACCTCCCCAGACAGGAAATTAGTCCCTGCCTTAATCACAGGCAGTCAGAGTTGTCAATCTTTTGTCAGAGTTGGTGTATTCCAGCCTAGATCAATTGCTCTCCTGTCCCGTCCAACAGCGGCTCGGGGAACGGTCCTTGCAAGCTGCATCATTAACCTAGGTGCCTAATTAGACGCTGTGGTCTGATCAATAGCCAAGTTGATTGCTGACTGGGTAATGTAGCTGCAGGCCCCAGAGGAGACGGAAACACTTTGAGCGCCTTCAGGAATTTGTCAGCAACACTGATGCTGGGTAAACAAAGTAATCAACGGCTGCACTTGACGGCGATGTGTCACAGACTGTACCTCAACGTTCTGCCTCTGCCTCCACGCCTGCCTGCCTGCCTGCCTGCCTGCCTGCCTGCCAGCCTAGGAGGAATTTTCTCTTTGTGCTCTCCTTGAGAAAAGGAAATCAAAAAGGCCACCATCTATTTTGAGATTCAAGGAGTGATTAGGCTGACAGCTAGTCGAGAGAGAGCGAGGCAGAGGGAGAGGCGGGTAGAGGTGGAAGTCAAACCTGATTAGGCCCACCTGCCAGGTTTCTCTTCCTTCCATCTCTACACCCTGATTGCTTGGCGGCAACTCCCTCCTCTTCTCCACCACACTCACCCCATCTCACCCTCATTCTGTCACTGTTGACCTCAGCGCACTGCTAATGCCCCTTGGCCAATCAGCATGCTTGCCCTGGCGGCGGCAGGGTAATTAAAAGGGAATTGCGTCTACTTGGCATGTGAGCTGGTGGGCACAAGGGTAGACAAACACTCTCTCTCTGCCGCCTGGGCTCCCTCCCTCTCTCCCAGCCAGGTGGTAGCGTACAGGACCTGTCAGATTAGCTGATGACCCTTTTAATTCTAGCCCAGCCGGGGGCCATAATTGATATTTACCGGGAAAGGTTAATTGTAGCAGTGATCTGCTTAAATTACAGTGGAGATCAGGAGACCGGGGCCAGCCACCGGGGGAGCTGCTACATGCAAACTGCTAGTCAAATGGATTACACCCCGCGGCCATCGCCACTGTACTCCAAGGTGGGGAAGCAGCACGGGACATTGTGATTGGCCAGTGCTGCACCAGCACAGAGTCTTCCTTGCTGAGCTCGCCAACCTCCCATCTGGCTGGGAATTTGGATGCATGCCAACTGTGGGTCTTGATGGCCTGCAATAAAACAAGCCATCCATGTTGGCATCAGGGTTGAACACACAAACTGGTATTTGTACATAAAAGCTGTTAAAAGCTGATAGTTTGTTCCATTGTTTGGTCTCTTTATTAATTTGACCGTTGTCATGACCAGAAAACAGCAAAAATAAAATCAGATCAAATCTCTAAAACATTGTGTTGGCAAAGGTGCAAGCATGTATATTGTTTAGCATTGTCTCCTCTCTGGTGATGCTGCATATTATTGTTTGTATTTTGTACTGACCTCAAGGAGCTGTTGTTGGCCTTGTGTCAAGTTGTGAAGGAGTGGAGTGGATGGCAGTTTTAGATAGCATTAAGCAGTTGATCCAAACTTCTACCTGTTCAGCAACATTTTTTTCTATTGTACTGAATGTAGGCCAAAGATAATACAAGCACATTACACAAACTTCTTACTATTGTTGTGTGTTTGTGTCATATGTGTGCACTAACATTCACTTATGTTCAAAATGTGGTCAGGAAGGAACTTCCATCTTACCTGAGTTAAACAATATAGATTGGTACAGTTATAGCTGAATAATAAAACTGATGAAAAACTGAAACTGAAAAACAAAATCTGTCATTTAAATCTGTCAAACTCAAGACAGTCCACAAAATATACAACTGAATTTGCAATGATGACCTGGATCCACATGGCTACTGTAGCACAACGTAGCCTGATCCACATTTGTCAGGTGAGCAGATCAGGTGCACACACGTTTAACAATCTGTAAATAAATGCAAAATAACTCCACAGTACTTTATGTGCACAGGAAGCTTTTCCTAGGCAAATTTTATGAGATGTATGAACTTTGTATAAATTAGATTTAAATTTGAATATATGTAGACATTTAAAATACTGGTATACATTCAAGTTGTGATGTATTTTTTAATATTTGTTCAAATTGTTTTGTTATTTGTTTGTGAATTGGAGAATGCATTTGTAAACGATATAAATTACCCACAAATCGTCATACGCATTTGCAAATCATGTTTTTACTTGTAGATCATGTGGCATGCACTTGTCACCATTCAGACTAATTTCTCTCTATACAGTCCACAGTCACAGCTGATTTTACTGAATTGTTGCTGCTGCATTCCTGTTGCTGGCTGGTATGACTTGCAGCAGTGGGTGGACGTTTGGGGTTGCAGGTGTTTTTCCTACAGCCACTTCTGCTTTGCATTTACTCAAAGCACAAACTGACACTGAGCTGTGAGACACAATGTAAGAATATAAGGACAATGGCCCATTGAAAGTCAGTTGAAGCCATTGTAGTTATGCTGTATTGTTATGCATAGTTGCTTAACTTGTGGAGTAGGTTATAGATCCCAATGAGTGACACGAATTAAGATGGAACTTTAATTTGTGCCCCCTGGTTGAATCATTGCTGTCCAACTGATGGTTTTGTTTTGCAGTGTGATTTATTGCTGTGTCTGAACTTTTGATATAAAATGGATAGCTCGGGTCCTCAGTGGCTGCGTCGGGTTTCAAGCTCTTGTAATTTCCCTAATCAACAAAAGCTTCATAATGTTAATGTTTCAGAGGTCAATGCACAGTCCAAGTAGCACCACCCAAATGCTGCTCTTGTTTTAACAAGAAATCAAGTAAATTATCTAGATTTAAAGCTTGCTATGTTGGTGGGTGGAATAACGTTTCATTATTCAATTATTATAATAACATACAATTATTCAATTAAATATAATTAATACTTTCTTTTTATATCAGTAGAACAACAATTCTACTGGTGTTTTTGTATTTGTATGTTCATAAGCCACCTAACTAATGTATCATAGAAATGTGTTTGGGCCACCATAAGCTGCCAGAACAGCTTCAATGCTCCTTGCCATTGACAAGTCAAGAGGAATAGACATCATTCTTCCAAGAGATATTCCCTCATTTGGTGTTTTGATGATGGTGGTGGAGAGCGCTGTCAAACACGTCACTCCAAAATCTCCCATAGGTGTTCAACTGTGTTGAGATCTGGTGGCTGTGAAGGCCTCAGCATTGAAATCCTCATCAAACCATTCAGTGACTCATCGTGCCCTGTGGATGGAAGCATTGTCATCCTGTCTCAACACTCATTTTTTTCCTTTATCGCCCGTCTGTATTTGGTAACTTCTGTGTAGATTTAGCACCTGAATGCATCATGTGAGGAGTTTTTTTTAATCATTTGCTTCTTTCATCTACATTTCCAAGCAATGATATTGTCATGTGATGATGTTTGTTGCTACTGTTCCTGAAGCACATATAACCTTTAGCCCTCCTCTTTACTTGTGTCCCCTGTAGATCAAACCTTTGGCACTACGTCCGGTCAAAGTCAGTGAGGACGAGGCGGTGCAGGAGCTCAGCCGACCGCACAGGAGCAACTCCAAGGAGCAGCTCAGCGAGGTGAGACCTTGGACGAGACCTTTCCCCTTTTCACAGACCTCCTACAGAGATCCAGGCTCTCCACTTTCACAGGCCAAGGCAGAGGACCACTGAAATGTGATACAGAAAGCGGGTGGACGACAGCAACATTGAGGCTGAGATCAGAGGGCAGCTGGTGCAGTAGCTCCTGCTGTGTGCAGCTCTCACCTCATAAATGCCCAGTGCATTGGGGAAAAGACTGTTTGGCTGGCAGCACATAGACAGGAAATGAGCATCACCTTGTTGGCCTTGCATTATTTAAAGCATGGCGCGGTTAAATGTAGACATGACCTAACGTGGTTCAGCCAGGTGTGGGCTGACCTCAACGACCCCAGAGTGGAACGAGTTAAAGAAACTGTTCCAATTATTGCTGCGCCGACATCCATATGCTAGCCCATTTAGAGGATGAGTAGATGGCAAAGGAAAATGGAGGCAAGGCACTGGTTCAGCATAGGGGATGAAATAATGCAATTTAGATACAGAGGAAGTAATGAGAATTTATGCAAAATCCCAAGCGGCTCATTTTAAATGAATGTAGAAATATGCTTCCTAACTAATGCTTGTCAAGCAGGCCTCCCAAACCTAACCAAATTCAATCAGACTGTTCATTTAGCTGACGAAAACAAGAGGAGAGAAGGAGAGAGAGAAAAAAAGTGGAGGAAGGAAAATATGCAGCTTCCTTTTCCAGCAGGCGTAAAATGATGGAAAGAAAAACGATTTTAATGAACTTATTAAATACATTGTTTTAAGCTATTCAGCATTCCAATTGAAAAGCCTGATGAAAAAAAAAAAAGAAAAATCACCCGGCCTAATTTTTTTCTATCTTCATCCTCTTTTTTTTCTGAGCCTCACTGCTCTGTTTCTCTCGCGCACTGTCCCCCCTCTTCCCCTCGCACCATTTCTCTTGAATTTGTGTAAAAGGCTGTCTTTTAATGAAAAAGTCAGGAGGAAGAGGCGGGCTTGTCAGATAAAAGACCGACGCCGGTTGACAGCTCTGACAGGGATATACGACAAGCACAGAGAAGGAGGGGGGTACGGATGAGGGGGGTGGTAGAGTGAGGGTGGAAGTGGTGGAGGTGGTGGTTCTGGCAGGGATGGTTGTGGAGGGAGGGGGGTGGGGTGGGGTGGGGGGGGCACTGATGAAAATTGCACGCTGTAATCGGCGACAGTGTTAGATGTGGCATGTCTCTCTAATCTGCTGCCAAATAAATGGTGCACAGACGCTGATCGCTGTAGCCACACGATCCATATCTATCCATCTCTCTCCCTCTGTCTCTCTTTACCTTTCCCCGTCTGTCTGTGTATCTGTCCTTCTCTCTGCTGGCTGCTGTATTTCACCCAGCCAAGGCCTGGACATGACACGCACACACAGCGAGATTCCTCACCAACACCGTGTCATTGTCTCCCCTATATTTCTTATTTTTTTCAGCTCCATGAAATCTCCGCCACCGCACTGAGAGCACTGCTAATTTTCGTAAAATACGCTCCACCACATCAAAGTGGCTTCCGAGCTTTAAGAGCTCTTAACTAATGATGCCGCGTCGGCAACGAGTAAAATGGATTTCTCTTGTCTTACCGCCAAAGGAAATAGAGACAAATGCGACATGCGGACGCGCCCGCCTGCCCGCCTGTAAAAACAGTCATGCATCAATTTGGAAGCAGGGGGTAAAAAAAATTGCAGGGGATGCTGTTTGTTCATTGCCATGGTTGGGTCTTTATCTGTTTATTTTGACTAGGTAATTGTGCCTGCGGTGCAGCGGGGCCCCGGCACTAAGCCACACAGGGATTAGGGAAATGTGAGGTGGTGGAGGGGGTGGGTTCCAATGCATTTGTGTCCTGCAGAGGAGAGGGCGGCAGTTCTGGTGCTGTCATGGTCTCTAACACCCTCCTGTATCCACCCACACCCACCCACATGCACCGAAACCCACCCACCTACCTGCTCTTCCTGCCACAGAGGGCATAGACATTCACGTCCTTTCCTCATCATGCTCCAATGAGCTCTGATTGGCCTGCCTCTTGGCCTCCGTGCAATGACAAAAACCAATAGTCTGGGTTGAGAGAAGATGGACTGGACCCTCCCCTCTTGTCGCCATGTTTTTCTTTTTTCTTTCTTTTTTTTTTTTTTTTTTTTTTTTATGGGTGGAGGAGGGAGCATGGAAATGGGGAGAGGATTAGGGGGTGGATTTAGCAACATTTCTCTTCTCTGGGGCTGTTTAGTTAACCCTTAAATGCCGCCAGCATCCGCACCCTCCTCTCACCACCAACCACCAGAACCACCACCATACACACACACACACACACACACACACACACACACACACACACACGCATTCGTCCTCCCTCCCCCACACTCCCTCTCTGGGGCGGGTTCTTAAATCCTTTTGAAGTCCTAAGCGCTGCAGAAATCCATTGAGAGCCATGTATAATGGCTTTTAAGAGAGAGTGTTTAGCTGTATGCCGACCCTATGGCTTATGAACCGCTGGCGTTTTAATGGATCCCCCCTTTCCCTCCCCTCTTTTCCTCCCTTCACCGGCACTAAATCCAATGGATTGTCCCTCATTATCATTTAAATAAGCCTCTCTTTCTACTCACAATGCTGCAAGTTGAATGAACTCTACATAGTAAGGCTAATTCCAAATGGCCTTGGCCTCCCACCACCTATGCGAAAATGCACTCACACACACAAACACATGTATATACACACATATTTAAGTGCACTCACAACATGCACACACAGACAACAGACCACATTCTCACTGGAACACACTTTTGGCCCTTTTGTAACCACAGATTTTGCCTTCTGTGCAGTTCTTCCTCCCCATTCCTCTGGCCTCCTCTCTGGTTGTGGTAGTGAGTGGAGCGGAGGGGTTGGGCAGAGTGGGAATAGCCTTTTGATTCCCGCAGAGCCTGCTTTCCGGTTCGCGGCAGGGCTCCTCCCTAATCGTCACCACAGGAGCCGTCCTGCAAATCAGAGGGGCACACAGGCGTTGATGAGGGCTGAGGCCTAGAGCAGGTGTGGGAGAATGGATGAGGGGCATTGGGAGGGTGCAAAACAAGGGAGGCAGTGGTGGTGAAGGTGTGGGGGAGGTCGTTTGGATTGAAGGTGGACCTATGGATGAAATTGGTCTAGCAGAAAAGTCCCCTCCAGAGACCAGGGGGGGAGAGATTGCCAATCTAGACAGAGGAATAAAAGCAGTGAAAAGTGGAAGTGGAGGGAGGGATTTGGAGATTGGTATTCGTGCTGGGCGCTGACAGACAGAGACAGAGCCAGAGAACAGAACAAAACCCAGCCTTTTCTGTCTCCATCCTGCTCTTGTTCAGCATTTAGAGGAGTGCATTAGAAAACACAGGAGGAGTTTGATGGGCCAAAACACCTCCCGCATGAAGAGATACTTATCCCGAGTACAAACAGGGCTGATATAACAGGACGAAAAATGTTTGGATTGTTTCAGAAATGTGACGGACACCATTTTTAAAAAAAAAAATAAAATAATTACAAACAGCATTTAATGAAGGACAGTGGTAAGTATGGATAGACAAAATTACATTTTTAGAGTTTGGATTGAATTATGTCTTTTCATATGCACTATATTTGCAGATTATATATACTGAAATATCTGCCCAGTTATCCTAAAATGCTTGTTGATGCTACTTTTATTCAATACTGTTTGATTTGAGTGCAACGCAAACACTTGGAAAATTATAAGATTAAATATTTTCATCTTCATTTAGCAGAGGACCTGAGCTCTTACTAACTCTCAACACAACAATCTCTTTGTTTATTTTATCATTTTATCTTCTTATGCAAGTGACGGATTCACCCCCATGTGCCTAGCAATATCAGATGGTGCTATTTAAGACACAGAAGGAAGTGAAGTAAAACAAATAGATCGTGACACATAGCCTTGACCTGCACTGCAACACATCATCTATATTGTAAAACCAGTAGAAGCAATTATCTAAAAAAAGTCAGCAGGCAAAGATTAAAACATTTCTTTAAAGGAGCTATTTGTAAGTTTTGCTATTGTTACATAGCCAACGTTAGCTAGTTAACAGCTGTTTACTTACAAGTCTAGAAGAAATGTTGCGAATTCTTCTATTGAAGTTAGCACGCTAACCATCTAGCCCCGGCCAGTGTCGTAACTTTCTGATAGGAACTCACTGTAGCATCTGCCCTGAAGACGTAGCACTGCTCAGAGGGCGTATCATAACCTCTTGTATTATATTATAAGACAACAGTGGCTGAAGCTCTTGTCAAGCGACAATCACCATCAGCCGCTCCCAGGCAGAGAAAACAAATAGCTGCTTTAACTAAAACATGTACAGTTCTGTGTTACTGTGCTTCAAATTAATTTACCTCAGAGTGACTATTGTGCACTATTTTCCATTAAAAACTTACCAAATAATTAAGGTTTTCCACAGTGTATTTTCATGACAGCTCAAATTAAGTCTGTCAGCAGGACGTGAGTGATTGTTTTTAGAGCGGGTGTGGCTCAGCTACCCCCGGAGGTGTAAGCCAGAATGTATGGGAGTGATGTGTGGTGGGCGGGAGTTACATGGCAGGGCGGGTAAAAGGTTAACGTGAATATTGATATTAAAGCGGCACTGCTTCATCATGTCTGTGTCAGCGAGTGAAACGCTCCTTAAAGGTCATCCCTGTTCTCCTCTCTCTCCCTACAGAGTTCCACTCACTCGCTGTCAGGCCGCGGCTACTCGGTAAGTGACATTTTCATGCTTCATAGCTTTACGGCAGAATTACAATCTCCAACGACCCGCTTTATGGCCCTGGCGCTCGACATTTTAATTATGTTAAATAGAGTAATGGAGAAATCATGATATTAGGAACATTAATTCTGGCTGACTGACTGATTAAATTGCGGGAAGGTGTCCTGCGCTACCTTGGCGAAAGGAGCCTCGTTTTATTGGCATCGATCAGCGCCTTTCGACGGTGCTGCAATTTGCCTGTCAGAGTTTTATGTCTTCCTCCAGTGACTGTCAGTGGAGGATCCTTTTGCTCACATATCAGATGATATGCCTAAAAGCTTTTTAAAGGCCTCCGCATTTATGCAATAAATACAATTTCTCACCACCAGAGAAATGCATGAACATTTACACCTTCAGGAAGATCCATAGCAGTTAAACATATCTTACGATTTTCTGGAACTGACTGTGCCTTAATATGAGTCAGTGAGATGGTCTTTATCATAGAACATGAAGAGTGTTGTTCAAGGTAAATGTGCCCGAGAGGAACATTTAGTGACGCCTTAGAAAACATCAGCCCAATCCTTTCAAACATACACAAGCTCACAAATTGTCAGTGCAGGACTATTTTTATCCCGTGAAAGCATCTGTTGCCGTGGCCCAGTGCGTTTTCGAACCGTAAATTTGTGCCCCCCCCCTCATTGTTTCAATGATGTGTCTAGTCTCTGGGTAATAGAGACAGCGGTCGTCCTTTATGTCCTTTGCTTAAAGGGGAACTCATAAGAGGAACATTCTTTAAAGTGTGCTACTTTTAGCTGATGAGTGGCATATGGCAGTTCTTATTGCAGCTTGGAAGCAATCATCCCGACAAACAAAACAACTATAAATGGTTTGTCATCGTTAATCTCCCTCAAAGGACTGCAGTTAAAGCGCTGAATAAAGCTTAACTTCAAAAGGCATTGATCTGTGTGCGATCTTTTTTTTTTATTATTATTTTGTTTTAATAGAACATGTCACATTCCTATTCCCCAGCGGCCGCATACTCACAGATGGATGAAAACAAACAAGACCTTCCAAAAAAGCTTGTGGAGCCCTTTGGCTCGAGCTGTCAGTTTGAGTCGGCGGGGAACAAGGCCTTCTCTTTATCTGAAAAGAGGAAGGAGGGAGTCAAAGAGAGAGAGGGCAGAAATGGAGATGGAGGGGGGGCTTGGTGACGGTGATGGTGTGGGGGCAGGGGCATTGTGTAAGCAAAGGAAAGTCCTGTAACGAGGGCAGGAAGTTTCACGTTGTCTGGCTCCCTCTCTGGCTATCCGATGGTGCTATCTGCAGCGTTTATAGCCTCTGGGCACCTCCTGGGTGCTGAGCTCTGACTCTCAATCTGCTCTGCTGCCAGGCCTGCTTGATTTCTGGGGTCTCCTTATCTGTAAGTGCTTCAGGCTTTACAGTATGATGGTTTCGAAGGGGGGTATGGGGTGCAGGGTCGGGGGGCTCCAGGGAACTGCCAGGCAGAAGCTGAGTGGGTATGGGAGGAGGAACAGGACAAGGAAAAGGCCAGGGGCTGGACAGAGTGTTATGGCTAGAGGAAGAGAGAGGCTATGTATGTGGGTGGTTGTAAGGTGGGGAGGGGATGTGGGAGGGTCAACAAGGCAGGCACAGAGGCGCAGTCAGCGCCACTGGCCACCAGTAGCACAGACAGGGCTATCTGTTGGTTGGCCCCCGGTGCTGATCTCCTCTCCACAAACAATCAGAAAATCACGCTGGTGAATAGGGGCTGGTTATCTGTCACAAGGCGCTGAGAGGTAGAAAAGGCAATCTCTACTGACAGTTTGTTTTCTACTTCCATGGGACATAAAGCCTCTTCTTGTTTATGCTTCCATATGTCTCCCTTCTTATGCTGCCTGCCAGGCTTGAATGGCCTCATTTGAATGGTTTACACAACAATGTAGAGAAGTTTCTGGGCTTTAGTGCCAGACTCATGAAAAAGGGAAATTGGAGCCCCCAGAGTGTTTTGGACACAGCAAATACCTTCATACTGTGTTAAAATGCTTGGCTGTTGCATACAGAACACATTGTCTGCCGGTTTAATTCATCAAAGAGTGGATTTGGACTTGAAAAATCCTGCACATACTATAAATATAAGTCAGATATTTAAAAAAAAAAAGGAAAAACTAAATAATATTTCA